CATACCCCAAGTGTAGATCCGGGATAGAATGGGTCTTCAGCAGACCTTGCTTGTCGTAAAAGGCGACGGTTGGTTAGGTTCGCTGACTGCAATCACTGGATTGTCTGGTCGCATGCGGCATTAAACAACAAACAAGCAAACAGTTAAACAAACATAACATAGAAATGCATCATTAGTGTTCGCTTTGATCAAAACTACAAACAATGAGCGTGGAAGGGGAAACAATCACATTCCTCGAGATACCATTCACATCGTCCACACAAGTGTACATCAGTGTCCAGAGGTTAAGCCATTTAACAAAATTCTTTAAGCTCATGTCTTGGAGATATTAAAATATCTATACAATGTTAACCATATAGCAATGACTACAAGAGAAGGGGACTTTGATCAACAGATAACTGAATTAATATATTGAACATTTGAATCCTCGTCGTTCTACAGTGCATGTGAAGTTACTGCTGAACATGGCCCATAATGTCTAAACAAACAATTTACTGCCATGTCCCTTTCAGTCCCGAACTCCGTCCATATACGTTGTCCATATATCTATACCTCTGGGAAAATGTTAAGCATGTTAAGCGTCCCATAACAATAGTTATATGACTACCCATTCACCCTTCTGCTTCTCCGTACGAATCATCATGCAGTCATCTGGAGAAGCATGCATTGCATTGTCCTATAAGCAGATATCAGCATCAAAAGGTGATCAATATCACATTATGAGTACATTCTAAACATGGAGATCTATCACACTGATGTCACGAACTAAATCCAAGCAGTCCACAATTCATTTCAAATTAATTGTTTGTATAATATCAACAGCCCTTACAATCTATCACTAGTCTCGGACCAGTAGACAAGTGGCCATGTCGACCCGACATAACTCCCAACCAATCACCCGTTAACACGAGTATTTCATCACCTGATATTAAAGGGTTCCAATGTACCGTACTGTAAGTCGATACTTTATATGTAACTGTTCACATTATTATATATGATTTGATGTCTGATTGTAGACACAATATTGAATATACGAGTCAGATTATTATAATAATGTTAACGGTCGGAATGATACCAACAAATTATGCTTATAAAGGGTATACTATAAGTTTACTAAATCATATTACCTTTGCAGCAACACCTGTACATTCTAAAGGACAAGATGGTTGTTGAGTTGAATAGAATTAATGTTAAAATGTCAATATTTATCAATTTGAGTGATTATTGGAAACAGTTCAACAACAAAAGTCTTTTACTTAATCAAGCTATTCACATGTTAATATAAGGAAAATATGACATGGTTTTGTACAGCAAAGTCGATAGACGATTGACATATTTCTTAAATGTGCATAGTCAACATATATGAATGATAAGAAAAGTGAGGTTACAAATAATAAATAAAGCAGAGAGATTAAGGGCGACAAATGTTGGAGTTAGTGTATATAACAAACGGAAGTTGACAATTGATTATTGAAGGCACACATCCTCTTTCATCACTTCACACACATTCGGTCATGATGCCCTCTCAATGTTATTGACATATGAACATTTAAAATGAGAGGAAGACATTCTATATATCAAATACACTCACAATGACTGCAGCTTGGTGGTATAGTAATTGTACATGAATTGTCTTACCTACACCTAAATTATTAGAGTAGTTGACAAATATCATAATGGAGACGTGCATGTCTCAGATCATTTTTTTCTGATAGTAAACTGTTTCTATACTGCATTTAAAACTGCATATGTAGTCACACAAATATTTTTTTCGAAAATAAAGAATAGTACAGATGTATGGCACATTAATTTAAACAAAACATCGAAAATGATGTATTTCATATATTTGTGTAAACAAAGAGGCTTTTACAAGAAAAAATAGTGTTTTAGTATAAAAGATGAGGGGGATAAAACTAATGAAACAAAAATATACAATATATGCAAAAACAAATATGGGCATACTTTATACAGGTGGCCGGGAATTACATAAATGACCGCCGATTTAATCTGGGGGCGAGCCTGTACCAATAAAAGTTGTCCGGGGGAGCGGCGGGGGGAGGTGGCCGATGTGTGGTGGTGGGTGTTATTTTGCGACACTGGGACAGAAATTGCTAATGTGTCGTTTCTCAACACCAGCTGCGGTTTTCTTAATTTAGATGTGACATACTGTTTCCGGTTCAAAATTCAATACAGGGATAAATGTACAAATAACACAGCTCTACACTGTAAACACGGCATGTGCATACTGAAATTGAATTCTTTCCCAAATACAGGTGGTCGTTCAACTTACCTGCATCAGCACCTGTAGTTGGTGGATCAGAAGGGAAACGGTAGCCTCCATTAACAATGTCGCGGGAAAACCCATATACAGCGAATCTGCTGGCAGAGCGGACGGAGTAACTGCGGAATGAACAATTTCTTCCCGCTTTGTAATCTCTGCCGGGGATGTCCACCCAGTCCAGTGTAACAGGGACCATATCAACAGTAAATACTTCAATATCCGTTACATGTTGTTTAGTCAGGATGTTTATACACTCTGTATTAGGAATGAATGCATTGTTCACGAAATACGTAACTGGAACTACAACAACAATGCCATGTTTATAAAAATATTGCCTGTGTCCACACAGGGTTGCCATGACAGGTCTTGTGGTATTAAGATATAGACTCTCATTCTTGGCGAGGTACTGGCGATATACACGGTTGTCACCAAGAGAGAATGTAGATCCATTGTTCAACATAATTTCAGTGTCGCTCTGGTCACTAATAACTTGGAGCTGGTATGTCACGTCCCTATAAAAGGAGTGGTCACCTGTATACATAACATACTCCGTCCCATGATGTCGTACAGGTAATAGTTGCGTCACGGCCGTGAAGTAATCGCGTTTCATTGCCCCACTGAACACAGCTACAGTGTTTGTTGCGTTGATTACAGTTCCAGTCAGGTCATAGTCACTCTTCATCGTGAAGGTCTGATACTCATCTAGAGTCACATGAATCGTGTCTCCGTCGTTGTAGGTCATGTTGTCATAGGTGACGTTCCCCTCCAGCATCAGCGTGATGTCCACGTCCGTCTTGTGGTTGTGGTTAGCTATCACCAACACCACCTGGTCCTGGCCTCCCAGGCAGGTGGATACTACATACCTGGAACCTAGGGCAGAGATCGGGAGGGCTGAAAAGATGCCATATCCACAGTTTCCTTGAACGACCATGCCCTCACCAAAGACGTGGGTTACGAAAGCCTTGTTCTCCACACCCACCGTCATCCGCAATAATGGATCTATGTAAACCAAAGTGTACCGATATGGTGTAACAGTGCTTGTGACGTTATATCCCAGCTGTGGATAATCAACCAGACAGGATCCCCCTGTTTCCCCAGCTGCCACTGTAACTGTAAAACGAGCCGCCGCGTAATAATGAATGTATACCAGGAGGTAGCCTACACCTGGAAAAAGTATACACAGTTTGTTAGTTGTGTTTTAGAATGGACAATACCGGTACAAGCTAGCTTCTGACATCTGATACTTTCAACGCATCACTCGACTATGCAGTGTGTGCCTGGGGTTGACATACATGACTCTGATGTTATAAACCAAATATGTGTTAATGTGACTGCTGTCCAAAGTCATTAAATCGATCGCCAAAGGACAATAGTCACTCTATCATGATTTCTTTTATATATAAAAGACACTCATCGATCTGGTTCCAAATAACAACATCGATGAAAATAGGTATAACGTGAGCACAAGCAAATTAAACGTTATTTTACACACTTACAAAAATCAAGTCGGCCTGTAAATATACGACCTGACAAACAACTACAACAGTAGCGTGAATAACAGCCGACTCGCGCGTTCCTTGTTAATCGCAGCGTTTTGTTCATCACTTCCTCAGTAAGTCACAGTGACGGTGTAACTATAGGGCATTCTGAACATTCCCACGCTGAATGGAGTTGTCACTCGTTTGGATTGACTATGTGTTTTACAGCCATACAGTTGGTCGTTATATGACTGTCAGTATAAAAATGTTGTCACATCTGCCGAATGGAAGTGTAGGAAAAAGTTAATATAAAATCATAATTACGTGCATGTGTGCTGCTGTGGATATGAATACGTCACAGTGGGGTTAGCGGTGTCCTCATAATAATAGAGTCGCCATTTCGAAAGAAATGTTGAGCACCACCCCTTCTTTATGTTCCTATACCCCGACCTTCCTTGTATCTCTGTACATGTAACGTTGATGTCTGATTATTGTCTAAGATACCACCGATATCTGTTGAAAATTTGGCAGAATAGTGTGTGTTTCTCAAGATCGTCACGAGTTCTGAGTCATATGATATGATGCAAAGCTTTAGAAGGATATTCAAAAATCAATTGCTATGCATGTCATAATGGAAACAAAAGCAAGTATGTCAAGTGATTTTAATTACATTTCATTTCATATGGAATGTACTGACTCCGAGCCGACCATTCTCTGTTTTATCCCCATCATGCCGAGCTCAAGGCAAGGAAACAACACGTACCATCCTTCAAGTACCGTGACAAGGTTTGACGCGACCAGGGGATGGAACCACCGAACTTTTGCTCTCCGGGCAAACGCTATAACCCCTACACCATGGAGACGGACGCACCCCAGAGCACACTAGATAAGACACCAAACCGACATCAACCGAGTAAGTTGACAACATAACCAAAACCATAAACAGCAAAACGGTAATCCATAAACTGTGATCAAAGACAATGTATACAATTTAACAAAACTCAATTGTTAGATATATTCAGATATTATTAACCATTTTATATGTTATGATTCTTTTAATATTATATTTTAGGATTACAACTTTGAAATACATGTTTGTTATTCCTTATATTGTATATACTTGCATCACATCGGGCTTTCCTCCAACATCAAGCTGACATGCCATGATAGAACTGAAATACTGCTCACAGCGGCTTTAAACAAATCTCGCATACTCAAAGAAGCTATGTCTATACTTATACCCTCAGGGTATTCTTGTCCGCCAGTCCGGGTGTTGGTAGATACAGGTGTGGGTAGTGTCGTTGCACCTGCGGTTGTTGAGGCCGGGGTTTGTGTCGTCGGTGTTGCTGAACCTAAACAGAAACTAGGTTTAACTCTTAGATACTCTTTTCAGAGTTGCTTTAAAAATTCTTCTTAGCATGAAAACAGATGATATTGATGTCGTATAGCTTCGTATTAATTTCAACACTATTCTACATTCGACAGCTTGCGAACTTTCGGAAAATCTACATCCTGTCCGATACACTCATGCGTACACACACACACACACGCACACGCACACGCACACACACACACACACAGACACACACAGACACACAGACACACGCACGCACACACACACACACACACACACACACGCACACAGACACAAACACACACACACACACACACACACACACACACACACACACACACACACATACATACATACATACAATACATGCGAAACCGCATTATCGGGTGTTCGGGAAGGGAGCTAACTCCATTTGCCTAATCGAAAGTTCGAGGTGGGCCCACATTCGAAACTAAACGCACTTGTTGTTGAGAATATGTTCTTCGTAAACAAACCTGCATTACGAACTGCTTTTTTGTCTATTTAAAATAAGTATTATGACTTATAATTGGATTAGAATGTACAAATGCGATGACAATACAGCAGAACTCACTTCTACGAACATCGCCAAACTAGGTCGTGGGGCTATTAATATTCATGAGTTATTCCTTTTATGGAACAGTTCTCGGAAAAGTTTGAGGCTTGTATCATGTCCGAGATCAAACCAAGTGTAGACATGCTTTCAGGCTTATATCGCCACCAAAACGTATGATTAGATTGGTGTGTTATACTGGAAAAAGTAGAATGAGTGGTATTGCCTACGTGAATTTAATTTGAAGAGGACTAAGTTTCTTGCTTTGTAACTATTTTTGCAAAACTAGTGTGGTCAGCTATGGTGACGTTATTCAAACTTCAAAGACTGTGTTTGCCTTTTGTGGAATTAACGTCACACTAAATGATTTATAAAGATATTTCCCATCACTATTACAAAATGAGAATAATATATAATGTCACATACCCATGCAAAGTAATGACAAATGTGAGCCCACTTGCCTAAATGTCAACCAAATGAAGCCCAGCGATTTACAATGTGGGCCCACCTGTTTCGACATTTTAGAAAATGGTTATAAGTAAGCCAAGCTAATGAAGCTTAGTGATTTATAAATGTGGTCCCTCCTGTTGCAATCACTATGACGGAAGAACGTCTTCCAACTAGGCGATATACAAACGTGGGCCCACTTGTTTCGATCACCATATATGACGGGACTCGTAAGTAGAATTTCGCGATTAATACATATGGTCCCTCCTGTTGCAATCAACATGATGGAAGAACGTCTGCCAACATTTAGGAATTGATTATCAGAACTAACGAAACAACCTATCGAAGCTAGGCGATATAGAAATGTGGGCCCACTTGTTTCGATCACCATAGATGACGGGAAAAATGTGGGCCCTCATTATAGAAAATGGTTATCAGCACTAAACCAATGGAAACAAATATATAATGAATTCAAACATTTAATTAAGAATACGTTTTACCTTAGGGATAAGCTGGGCATTTATGAGCTGGACCAAATACGAAAACAACGGAGATAGCTCCCGTTTGAAATCAGAGTGACCTCCCTTTCCCAATATGAACCATTGATAACCCGGTTTCGCCCATACATACATACATGCATGCATGCATGCATACATACATACATACATACATACATACATACATACATACATACATACATACATACATACATACATACATACATATACATACATACATACATACATACATACATACATTAAAACCTTCTCTGCAGTCATACAGAATATAGAATGACAGACACGACGTGACGAGGCCATAGGGTTACTATGACACAGGGGAACTCAGGCGTACAGTAGAGGACATAACAACATGTACAGGCAAATGTTCCCATTGTCCTCCCCATCCCCCGCGTATTAACCTTGAAGTTCAAGCTACCCCGAGGAGGAGTTGAATCAACTACTTAAAACAACAGATGCGCTTGAAAGGAATTTGATAATGGGGACATGCCGCATGGGTAAATGTCTTGTTGAAAAGAAAGAGAATGCAAGACATGTTAACAAGGCAGTTCACTGCATCATGTCCAGTGGAGTTTCATTTTCTGTTTGGGAAAAGAGATAGAACAGAAAACTGAATTGGAAAAGTCTCTGGGTACAGGAAAAGAAAAAAAGCTTTTGAATAATTTACCTCCAAAGCTTAGAGGCTAATTAAATCCTGACACCTGGAACATCATCATCAATCTTTGTCAAACCTTTCAGAAATCTATTTCAAAATATGTACTCCGGGTACCTTGCAATGGATGTATCTGAATTGCCTCACAGTTGGGTTCAGTTATTCATTTCAAATGGCTGTAAAATGAATTTGTAACAAAAAATTTTTTATTCGGTTTGGTTTACCACGCCATTGGTCTTGTTGCTCGCTATGGCTCTGTCCGTGAATCAGTTGTCAGGCACTTGAAAAAAACTAATAATGCAATAATAATAATAATAATACACAATCAATAATCAAATAAATTTGATGCAAATAATGAGTCACTGAAAGTATGGAAACAAATGGTGAACAATAGCGATCGAAATTGAGATCTAGACACACCAAAAGGAAGCCTGAGTTTCGGCACGAAACGATAAATGGAGTGGGACAGAGAGAGTGATAACCAAAGAAATTACATCTCAACCAACCCGAGGTGTCAACTTGGGTGAACTGTCAGTTTCGGGCTCTGTGAATTCTAACAAACTCATAATGTGACAACTAAGTCCACTTCAAGGCCCAAACTTCTGGAGAGGGCAAGAAAACGTAACTGATTTTTGTAGGTCTGTCTAATATAAGTGTTTAGGACATGCCGAGTACGGCGTTAAACAACAAACAAACGAACAAAACATCATTGTGTTAACGTTTAGCATAATGTAATAGAATATTAATATTTTTATGTAAATAAGTTAACCACAGTACAAAACTCTATTAAGTTTGTCAGCTGATTTTTCGGCTTGTAAGGTGCTTGTATGATTATTTTATGTAAATCATCTCTCCTTGTATTTGTTTTTTACAAACAGGTTATATACCTGAAATGATTTCTCATTTTATTTAACATTCTAATTATACAACTATACGTGATGAGGACATCAAAGTATTACATACCAAATTATACCTTCATAATAATAATACATAAAACAAAAAAATAAAAATAAAATAATAAAAAACAACGTTGATTTAGTTCTCTAAACAATCTACAGAGTATATATCTAAACGTGGGTTCGTACGTTGAATGTCCAGCACAAGGATCGTCCTGTTATCAAACACTAATTAACACCCCCACCCCCCCCCCCCCACCCCACCCCCCACCCCCTCCCACCCCCCACCAGCACCACCACCCCCCACACACACACCACACACCACCCCCATCCCCCGCTAATTTACTGCTATTGATACTGCGGGAGTTCATGCTTAAGCCTACCAGAATGTGTTCAGTACAACAAATTAAAACGTACCGTCAACGATTCCAAGGGATACCAGGAATAGCGCCACCTCCATGAAACGCCCCATTGTCACAGAGCTTAGCCTGTACCGCACAGTGCTGTGACTAGGCTCTGTCTGGCAGGGTGGATGCAGATAACCTGTTATGTATGCACCACGTCAACGTCAACGCACGCAACAACAAAAGAAATTGTGTCATTGATTTTTTCAATAATATACATTGTACATTGTCAGCATGAACAGGCAAAGGATGTATTTACTGCCATTATAAAAAAAACCCATAAAGTTAAGTGTGTGAATCCATTTTGGGAACAAAACAATCCCTTTATTATCTTCTGGGTGGCGTGCAAATAGAGTAATGGAGTAGAGTAAGAGTTTTTCCTGTGCAAATACTCATGTGTACTCAAATTGATCTAAATAGCTTAGTGACAACTTGAATCTCATGTGGAAACTTGATATGGGGACATAAACTGAGTTGAGAGCTCTTAACATAATATTAATTTGTTTGCATAGATGTGAAGCGGCCTCTTCCCTACAAAACTTCTTTCTTCTATATACATTCAGATTCAAAAAGAAGTTTTGTAGGGAAGAGGCCGTCTGATTCGCAGGATTTTGATACTGCTCGTGTTCATTGCCTGGCTGTATGATACTGGTGATACTGCTTGTGTTGATAGCCTGGGTGTATGATACTGGTGATATTGCTTGTGTTCACGGCCTAGCTGTGTGATGATTGTGATACTACTCGTGTTGATGGCCTGGCTGTATGATACTTGTGATACTGCTTGTGTTGATGGCCTGGGTGTATGATACTGGTGATATTGCTTGTGTTCATGGCCTGGGTGTATGATACTGGTGATATTGCTTGTGGTCATGGCCTGGGTGTATGATACTGGTGATATTGCTCGTGGTCATGACCTAGCTGTGTGATGATTGTGATACTGCTCGTGTTGATGGCCTGGGTGTATGATACTTGTGATACAGCTTGTGTTGATGGCCTGGGTTTATGATACTGGTGATACTGCTCGTGTTGATGGCCTGGGTGTGTGATTCGGGTGATACTGGTCGTGTTGATGGCCTGGGTGTATGATACTTGTGATACTGCTTGTGTTGATGGCCTGGGTGTATGATACTGGTGATACTGCTCGTGTTGATGGCCTGGGTGTGTGATTCGGGTGATACTGGTCGTGTTGATGGCCTAGCTGTGTGATACTTGCGAAACTGCTTGTGTTGATTGCCTGGATGTATGATACTTGCGATACTGCTTGTGGTGATGGCCTAGCTGTGTGATACTTGTGATACTGCTTGTGTTGATTGCCTGGCTGTATGATGCTGGTGATACTGCTTGTGTTGATTGCCTAGCTGTGTGATACTTGTGATACTGCTTGTGTTGATTGCCTGGATGTATGATACTTGTGAAACTGCTTGTGTTGATTGCCTGGCTGTATGATACTGGTGATACTGCTTGTGTTGATGGCATGGCTGTATGATACTTGTGATACAGCTTGTGTTGA